CTGAAAATAATATAATCAATTGGGACCCCGCTACCGATAAGGTGTAGCTAATAAAATCGACAGCTTAGCCTTCCTCATCGAAACTTCTAACCATCACATGCTGGACCACAGTAGCAATTTTATCAACAAGGGGTTCCCTCTTCAGCCTCATCCAACTCATCGTTAATGTCGAAGTATGGCAACCCACCTCTACTTCCGAAACCATGTCGACTATATTCAAATAAATGAGATACTATGATAGACAAGCCTCGTGCGATCCAACCTTCTCAGATAATGGTAATGATCTTGATGGAGACTGCGAAGAAACTTTCCTCAGTGGAAATCCCCAGTGCGCAACCGAGAAACTGCGATCTTGCTGTCGAATTTGCTGACACCGACCCACACAAGCTATGTTTCTTGGACAACCGTTGTCAAACACCTGAAAGCGCCTTGGTTTCGCTTCTCAAACAGGCCAGATTTCACAGCCATACAACAGAATGGCACTTCCCGCAGCCTGGTACACACCTTACATGAAACTCAGGGATTTACTGCTTTGACGCCATAAGTGTTTCAAATTAGCAAACGTGACCCGAGCCTTGCAGGTTCGTGCATTGACCTGGCAACTGAAAAAGTGGCAGATTCGGATGTCAGATGAGCAGACAAAGGTCGTGTTTTCGAGTCTCCTCTGCTTTACCATCATACGTAGGCCCATACTGGGACGAGGTTACCACCTGTATGCACAGTGCTAGATTTTTTTCCAGGACGTAAATAGGCTCACTCAGACGTTAGATATCAGGCTGAACACTGGCATTACTTAAATCTCAGAGAAATATCCCACCAGGTCCCGGACATAGCTTGACGTGACGAATTATCAGACATCAAGTCGAAGTGAGCGTGCAGGACGACCGTGAAGTCTGATGAACATGGGAAGCCAGGAAAATGGAAGAGAACCAGGACGCTGGTGAAGCCCGAAGATTACTTTAACTGATTCGCGCGACCGGTCCCGTAAGTTATAAGCGCCTACTTCCACATCGGATAATGCCTGCTGTTTATTGCACTGTCCCTATTCAGCGCAATCTCCAGTGCCCACGAGCCCCGCCAGTCATGCTTTTATTGTAACCACAATATTATCATCATTCCCACAAGGGTGGAATAAATGTTAGTACTGTTATCTGAATTTCTAGAAACACGTGTATAAGGCTACTGTGTGCGTCGTTTTACTGAATGGCTGTGAGAATTGGCTCGCTTGGTTAGCAGAATTGAGACGTCTTCAAGTGTTCGACTATTGTTGCCTCAGAACGATAGAAATTTTGGGTTAGTGTCGAAGAATTCACAACGAGGTGATAAGAAATTTAGAGTTCGGTTGCGCAACGGGTACTTCCGTCGAAAAATGTGTCTAGTACCAGAGACTAGCCAGCGTATACCGCACCATCTGTTACCGAAGAGAGTGTTTTTTTCATGCCCAGTTCAAAGTGGCGGAGGCAGAGAGTTGACAAGCCCTTTACTTAATAGATGGGTGCTATCACTGCTACTCACCTACCGGGATGGGGAAGGTGTGATCCTCATTGTAACTGGAAAGAGACGCTGAAAGTCAGTGTCAACAGCTTTCCTTTTGTCAGTTTCCATCCGGATTGCCTAAATGAGTGTATAGAGATTGAGACCTCTAATAGTGTTTGTGGTAAGTCAACGGTAAGCCTCCCCACCTACGAAGCATGAGTGTTGAAAATTGATGACGTGCGGTCCATGTTGATGACGGTGATGCACCGCTTCCGCTGCACTAACGCATTAACTGAAACATACTTGTCTCAGCAATTTGAATAAAGACACTGGAGAATCTTCGACATTGATGTTACAATGTTTTTGGAAGTACATTCTGGTTCTGCCTCCTTGCGGTCATAAAGGTAGATCACGAATAACCTGACGATGGCGCAGAGCGTCGCGCACTAAAATCGCAACAAGGAAATTGTAAAGCCTAAATCTGGCAAAACTGTTTGATGCGGTGCTCAGCGCGTTAATTTTTGCAATGGAAACGTTGAACATATTTGTGTTTGATGATTTACCCAAATTTTAGTGCAAGGTCAGTCTATTCCGGCTGGACATTTCAGTGACACTGCTTGCAGCTTTTGATTTAAGCGGGCTGACTTTTAAGGCCAATGACCACCGCTGATTGGAATGCAATCATCAATTCACAAGGCTAAGCGCGAAATTGAATTATGGCTTATGTTACCGAGAGATAACCCTGTTTGCGCGCGTCCACGCCTGAGTTCCGAAACTGTGCGGAATCTGTGGGGAACTCGTGCACTAATGTTCAGCTATTCAGCCGCGAGAGATCAAGAAGTTTAGGAGGCATCAAAGCTTCTTTTTTGTCTCACAGTAATAAAAACCACAATGCCTTGCATTTTCCTGTCCCTGCGGAATGTAAACCGTTGACCAATTTAAGTGCTTTTTTAGTGTGCACCGACATTATTCGCGGGAAGCTCTACGTTCTGCTTTTACTCACGCGCGGCTGAGAGAGTGAGTTTAGTTGCGCTTTGATATGCCTTGTGTCCGGTGTGTTTACGTGTACGAAAATCTTAAACAATACATCTTCATTTCAAGTGAGCGTCGATACACCGAGAATTCTTTCGTGCTGCGCGTAGAGTCTTTTCGAGAACAAAGTTATTCAGGAAAGTACGCCAACAGGTTACAGGAGCCAGCCGCTTTGTTGCCCGACAGATGAATGAGTCCATAATGTCTTTGGCCGAAAGCCCTGAGGGTAGGATTCATAGTTCATCAGGTGATAGTTTCATATTCTCAGCTACGCACAAATACTAATGTAGTATCTCCGGATAACTGCGCGCAAATTTCAACCATCCCGGTAACAGATCTAAACCAATGAGCTCGATTATATCATAATTGCAATGACATCGTCGGAACGTACGAATAACCCTGCCCTTCATCCTGATAATTATGCGCATGCCGGTTATCTCGTCTACTTAAGGTAACTACCAGGTGCGAAAATATTCATTTCACCAGCCATGTTGGCTTAACTGTACATGGTCACTGACGGCGTTTTGGTATTATAATGGTATGCGTTATCGTTAATCCATGTCGGCACTCAAAAATTATGAAGCCGTCATATGCGACGTATGTCTTACATTTAATGCACTGGTACAACAGTAACAAGAATTCACTCCGTGCTGTTTTCTGTGAGCCACGTTCGCTAGTCGAAAATTCCTAACTGGGAAATAATTTGATTTATTCTTGTTTATGCCTTCGGTAAAAGTGTTCAGAAGTCCTAACTGTACAGAGTAAACATGCTAGTTGATCAATTAATCGCAGTATCTGTAGTCAAGGACCCACGTGTGCACTGATATTGCGATGCCGAGATTCAACGCTCATACGCATTATTAGGCGCAGCGGAGATAAACTATGGGCGGGTGGATACAAGATCGTTGTATAGACTTGATCCCCAGGATTCGAGCACCTCGTATATCTTAAAACGTGTATCCATGGGTGTAGCCTTAGCTATGACCTAGTGAGTAAGCGGGTGTTTGGCGTGAAATCTGGTCATTTAGAGTTCCAGATCCTAGCTTCACTCCATCTGTGCTCCTGCTTCTGATAACCTGCAGCCTAATAAAAGCAAAACCTCCGTTGTCATCATCATAGCTTGGAGCCACTCCATGGGCGACCGCGGTAGCATTGTGAACGACTAGGGGTTCCTTTCTTTGACACTGTCTATGTGCTCCAGAGCTTGCGTTTGTGGATCGACTTTTCTTCGCTCTTCGACATCCGGTTGCGGCTGAAAAACGCATCCACGTTTCAGGCAAACCTAACGCGTTGACCACCTGTAGTTCTTTCGGGCTAACCTGAGTCTTCGTTCCGTGTCTGTCATGTATGGCCCCTCGTGTACGCTAGGGTATTACCACCCATCTCTTATACAATCGCGCAATAGCTACCCGAATAAAGGGGTCCAAGACAGCGAATACAGATACGATCCAAATATCTCCAAGACGTGGTCCATCTCAGTGCCTCAGAAACAAATATCCCTCAACCCACATCCAAGTAACATACACTGCCACGATGTCACCAATTCTGTTTTTGTCCCCTAAGCGGTCGACTGACCATGACGGCCCATTAACTGTCTTTTCATACACTTTACCCGCCCCCAACATTTGTCCCACCCGCTCGGGATTTTGGTTGCCACCTACCCTCAAACGTCCAACAACTCTTTTCGTACCATGTCCTCCCCTTCCACATTCATGTCTCCGACCATTCACCTCAAGCGCCGCTCGCAGCTATTCCCCACTATCACCCCATGCATGTCCGTTAACTTTTCTAAAACAGGGTTGTCCAGCCTTTCTCCAGCAGTTATGAATCAGTCACTCTTAGTTGCCAGCTATTTCGGACCGCAGTCTGACTTGTACCCTAGCAATTCCTAATGGGTCCTTCTGACTCCTTTTCCAAGTTTGGGTCCCCAATTCAGATACTTCCGTCTTGTTGCCACGCCCGAAAGAGCCACACCGCACCCTCGACGGAATAACGAATGTCCTTTCTCCATACCGGTCCTACTTTGTCACGATTCCTTCGCTAATCCCAACTATCTCAATAATCCTAACTGACTTACTAATAGCGTTCACGTATGAGACTGACATGAACCGAAGTGTGATATCGCGATGACGGTATCGCGACTGGTATCCATTAACCGCACAATGTTCTTTACTGTCAAACTTTCAAGAGTGGAGTAAAACATTTCGCGCCGTAATATTGTACTTTATTGCGTATGCGCACAAGCCAAAAATCATCCCAATCTACCCTTATATTTTTGCAGCTCACCAAATTTCGCTGTCCACCGGAGCAGTCATACCTCCGGCGGAAATGTCTGGCGGAATAATTTCCCAGCATCGCTGAGACGACAGAATGCCTAGACGGGGCTGTAAAGTTTGGACTGGTACTCTGAACGAAATTGCCTGATTGCTTTAGTCCATGGCTATTGAAAATTAAAAAACCTTGCGCGAATTCTGAGCCTCAACGCTGAGGATATGGTAGGTAGATTTTCACACTCAGAACGCACACTTTTATCAGACAACCTGTTTTCCCATTTCGGGTAGTTGTCGCCGGGAATGACCTCAAGACGGCCATTTAGACTTCATGGAGTACCCCGTTCAAAACAATATTAGACACCTTTTATGCAAATCCCCACGCTGGCAAACTTCTTGCCCCGCACCGAGATCTTGAAGGGAAGCGCTAAACACTTTTTCGCTTATGCCTTTCAGCTGAATGGCAGCCGCTGAACGACAGGGAGAAAGCTAACGCGGAAGCTCGGGCGAAATCCTGAATCCTGTGTATCGATCGGCGAATCCATGACCCTACTTTCGCTACTTCGGCTGATCCATCCTTGAGGGACAGAAACGGAGAACCGACGAATGACCCAACAGTGGTATCTGAGGCTTACAGAGAACACTATGCGTGTCTATACTCAGCCCCAGCGTCCTCGTCACATCCACTCTTGTCAAGGAGAAACTACGAACAGCCTCTAACCGACTTGGTCTTCACGGTGGAGGACATTCGTCAACTCTTGGACAAGATCAACCCATTCTGCGCATTGGGACCCGACGAGGTCCATCCGAGGATCCTAAAAGAACCGTCCTCCACACTGGCAAACCATTTACACTTGGTGTTTCGTCAGTCGCTTGACGAAGGCCGAATTCTCCCTGCTTGGAAGGAAGCGATTGTCACGCCAATATACAAAACAGGTGACCGACTATCGCCTGGCAGCTACAGGCCTATAAGCCTCACTAGCG